CAAGGCCCTCTTCTGACCTCCACGGGTGCACTGACACACATGCAGGCAATACACTCATACACATAAAATTAAAATAATAAAATATTTTTAAAAAACAAAGTACATCATATGCATTTATTAAGATATCACAAGTCATTAATTTATATATAATTGCTATACTTTTATTTTTAATTGACAACTATGTGCACATCGAATGTGCATCTTGCTTCCAGTACTGACAGGGTCAGTGGGTTACATGGGAAGCCAACCTGTGTGCTGTCACCGTTACTGCTCAGGCATGCATACAATGCAGGAGCATCCTAAGTGACAGAGCAGAAGACATTCTGGATAGGATTAGAGGATGATGTCTCTGGGGCGGGGCTTTGCTGCAGAAGACTGAGGACATCAAGGTGACAGACAGGTGGTGGTTAGGGCCACAGGGTGTGTGCTGAGAGACCCTTCTGGTAGGCATTCGGTTCAGTGGGTGGAGACCAAGAGTTTAATTACCTAGTGTGGCTGGAGGAGCAGAGATAATGCTCCCCAAAGAGGAAACCAAGAAGCAAGGTCTCTCGAAGCTGCCCTGCCCCCCTTCATCTTTTTTGTTTTTTACAGAAAATATATTTGATATTTATTAAACTTAGTTTCTCCAGCTATGATTTGGCATTATACAAAGTATCTTAATGACACAGTAGAGTTAAAAAGATTTTTTGAGTTAAAAAGATTTTTACAAATTGAAGTGTGATACACTTGTCTCCAAATATTTTAATTGCCATAAATTTGTTTAAAAATACATATTAAATGCATGTTTGATGCATTTCTAAACTTTATACCACAAAATACATATAATACACCATACAGATGTGGAAAAATCTAGTTAGTATACAATACTTTGCTCACCATTAGCAGCTTTATTATGTGAAATGCACATACAGACTTAGAAATCCTAGCTTTTGAGCCCCCAAGTACCTCTGAAATTTAATGTATTGCAACAAATAAAAATCACAGTATATAATTGAAATTTTGGCTGAAAATGTCAGATGCCTAAATATTTTGGATAAAAGAAATATAAGGCAAAGGTTTGAATCATGTGCAAAATAAAGGCATTCTATCAGCAACAGGTTTATAATTTATCGACGGCATTACTTCCCCTCCATAGCCCTCCCCAAATATCAAACCATTATTTACTAAATAATTTTAATTTCAAATAAAAGGATCTTCAATAGATATATAATCATCTCTACCCTTCAAATACAAAATTTCTTAAAATCATTCAAAACAGAGGCTAGATAGAAATTTCCCCAACTGTGCTTATCAACCCCACATCTGACCTTCAAAAATGGTATCTTTCCAGACCCTGCAATCAAGTCATTTCTGTTGGTGAGTCCCCACCCCTGATTACTGCTGAATGCTCATGCCAGCAGTCTGCAAGGTGCATGCATGACGGGGACGCTTCTTGAACAGCAGCAACAAACTCAACGATATGGATATTATGGCATTGATTTGAAAGGCAGCATTTCCAAACTGATATTTTTCAGAGACGAACACAGCAGGTAGAAAATTCTGATGGCTAAAAACTGAAAAGAAGCCGGGCATGATGGTGCAAGCCTTTAATCCCAGCACTCGGGAGGCAGAGGATCTCTGTGAGTTCAAGGCCAGCCTGGTCTACATAGTGAGTTCCAGGCCAGCTGGGGCTACAGGGAGACCCTGTCTCAAAAAGACAAAAAAAAAAAAAAAAACTGAAAAGAAGCTCATGAGGAAGCAGCAAAAGGTCAGAACGAAGTGTCACTAGCATTTCTGGGTGGGAGCTTTTCCATGGTCATTACAGAGCATCCTCGGAGTAAGGATGGTTTATGCTTAGCTGAGCAATGGTGGCAAGGAGAGGCCCATCGTGATTTCCTGAAAATCAACTTCTTTACATACCAACTATTTAAGCTGCTAGTTAAGATGCTTAAACATCTACATGACTTTGTTGAGACTTCACTTGAATACCTTATTCTGTGGCCAAAATTCTGCTTTAAAAAGAGCTAGCTACTCTTTTTTATTCCCTATTCTGGAGAGAACAAGTTCTTTTACTTAACTGTGGGGTTCGTGTGAATAGGAGTTCAGCAGACCAGCAGCATCCCTTTGCTCTATTTTTGTTTGGTTTTTACAGGGTTAAATGAGGGCATGCTGGCCTCAAATTAATACTTTGAATGCCACAATGAAAGCATGTGCCTCCGCTAACTTCTTATTTACTTGTGTTCTTTGAGAATGGGTGTCACATAGCTCAGGTTGGCCTGAAACTCACTATGTAGCACAGGATGACCTTGAACTCAGGGTGTACACCAGCATGCCTGGTCTTTGTTAACTTTTAATGACTTACTTTGTACTACTTGCTAGCCTGGTTTTAGTGTCCACAAGTCCTAGCTGGATTCCTCCGTTAGTATGCAGAAAGTATGTTCACAAACATGATCAACTGTGCCACTTGCCACTGCACCTTCCAAGCCATTCAATGATTATTTCTTATATTGATTTTACTGCACAGCAACATTAAGCATGCAGTATCACTGGAAGAAAGACTGCCTCTCCAAGTGTGGCATGAAGCTGAAATGAAACCTGCATTCCACATACTAGCATAGTGTGTGTAAGAAGAGTCTACATGGATTTGAGCCTAAAACAGTCATCCTCAGTAGATGTTTCTGGGACCAAGACACCTATAGACTCCTCTAATTCAAAATACATAATGAAGTCATTTTTTTCCATTAGCTACTGGAAAATTAAAACCTTTCCCACCCTGTAAGAGCCCTATTATACTACAGAAGGACTCAAATATTTTTGAAAAGTTAATTTACTACAAATCATAGTAATTAAGCTTTAACAATCTAATGGAATACACATTGCACTCTTGAACATTAACATTCAAGGTGTCAAGAACAAAGTGTCAGGATCAACTTAATAAATAATGTGGAACAGTTGTACTAAGCTAAAATACTAACACATTTTTGACAAACTGATTTCATGTTTTCATACATACATACATACATACATACATACATATATAAAGTGCATGTGTACATAATTTTAAGTCCAATGTTGCATACCCTCATTCCTAGAAGAGTACACAGAGTCCAATCTCAACTGAGCTAAGCATCACTAACTGGAGCCATCACTGGCTGCCCTGAAACTCCACTGAGCCCTGGCCTCAGGCCACGACTTGCCTTTATAAAACAGATGCCTTCTGCAGGCTCTTGCTTCACAACACAAGCTCATTCACTAAATCTCAAGGTACCAAAGTTTCTACCATTAAATACAAATGATTCTGTTTAACCTAGCTGATTAATTCTTTAATGAAAAGAAATGGACAGTTTAAAAACAAAAACAAACAAAAAACCAACACCGAATCTACTAAAGCCACAAGTGTGTCACTCGCCCCCTTCACCTTTTTCCGTGCAGCAACCTCGAATGGCCACTAAACTGTACATTACTCCAAACTCCCAGTCTGCGCATGCGTGGGAGACAGCCAGTGATTTGCTGTCCCTGAGGCCAATGAGATGCTGCGGTTCTCCAGGCTTGTCCAATGAGCTCGGCGGACGATTCCTCTCCAGCCAATGGGACATCGAGAGTCCGGTCAGCTTAGGCTGGCCCAGTGTTAGGTGCCTCTGGGAGCACAGATTGCATCAAAACACATCCGGAAGTGCCTTCCAAGCCAGAAGTTTCCCGTGAAGACATTCTGGAGCCAGGAAAAATTTTGCTGCCTCAAAAAAGAAAAGGAGGGTTGGAGGCCGATTCTTGAATCCTGAGGAAAGAGAAGCCAGAGAGGACCAAAGGGAATGAGAGGAGGAGCCAGGGCCAGACCCCTGGGTCCGAGGGAGGAGGACTGGGTCTGGATCCCTGGGGTCTGAAGGAGGAGGACTGGGGTCTGGATCCCTGGATCCGAGGGAGGAGGGCTGAGGTCGGGATCCTGGATCTGAGGGAGGAGGACTGGGTCTGGATCCCTGTGGTTCGAGGGAGGAGGGCTGGGGTCGGGACCCTGGGTCCGAGGGAGGAGGACTGGGTCTGGATCCCTGGGGTCCAAGGGAGGAGGGCTGGGGTCTGGACCCCTGGGTCCAAGGGAGGAGGACTGGGTCTGGATCCCTGGGTCTGAGGGAGGAGGGCTGGGGTCCGGATCCCTGGGGTTCGAGGGAGGATGGTTGGGATCGGGACCCCTGGATCTGAGGGAGGAGGGCTGGGGTCTGAACCCTGGGTCTGAGGGAGGAGGACTGGGGTCTGGATCCCTCGGTCTGAGAGAGAAGGCCTGGTGTCAGGACCCCTGGGTCCGAGGGAGGAGGGCTGGGGTCAGGACCCCTGCGTCAGAGGGAGAGGACTTTGGCCTGGGCATCCTAGACTAAGGGAAGGAGGCTGTTTTGTTTCGTTGGGTCTTTGGAGAGTGCTGAATTCTAGACTCTGAGAAGCCTGAAGTCTGGTCACCCATGACTGACCGAGGAGGTGGGGGTCTGTACTCCTGTATCACAGAGTGCAGATTACTATATTCAAAAGCCTGTGTTCATAAGGAGGCTGGGTGACTAGAATCATGTGCCCTGTGGAACAGAGCTAGAACCCAAATTTCTGCAACCCTAGGACAGACAAGGCAGGGCTGTCAGAATTTGAGTTCTGGTGGAGCTAGGTCTTGAGTGCTGAGACACTGAGGCCTTGAGAAAGTTCTACTTTGAATCTGAACTCCTGAGTCTTTAAGCCAAAGAATCTCTGGCCCAGTCTGTATCCAGAAGTTGCAGGAACCTACACATTGAATTCTTGGCGTTAGGGAATTAATGGCTGAGTCTGAGAATTATAACCAAGGAAAATGAGCATAATAGCCTGTGACCTTGTTCTGTGACAAGCTACTTTAGGACAGGATGACTTCATATAGTATATTCCATGAATCTACTGTCAAGTCAGCATTTGCTAGAAACCGAGATTTAATTTCCCTACATGGTTAATTGTTGCCTGCTCTACCTTAGTTCCAAGATCCTGATCAGCTCTTCCCAACCTCTCTAAGAGAAGCCATGAGCGTCTGTGCTATCCAAAGTTTGCTGATCCTCTTTCTCCTAGGATTCTACCCCTGCTTAGGTAGGTACCGGGGACATGGAGAAGATCAACTCATTTGATTATCTTTTATCTTTGGAGGAGGAGGAAAGGGTGTCAGACACTGAAGGAAGGGAGCATGTACAAAGTGCAAATTCTTGAGAAGGACCATTACCTGCCACACTCCCTGACTGTGATGACTCCCTGACTGTGATGACCAGACCCCTGCCCAAATATTTAGGGAGGAAACCAAAGACTTTCATGACCCAGGGTCCTTCAATAATGGATGACACCGTATTGCACTCTGCCCTTCTCTACCCTAGTCTTTGCCTGAGCAGCTAGATCACCTCGGAATGTCCTTCTGTCTTCCATTTGTTCCCTGACACTATACCCCTAAGCCTAAAGGATCATGTATGTGGCACAGTGACCAAGAGGGAGAGGAGCAGCATCTAGGTGGAAAAAACAGGAAAGCCAAGTCACTCAGGACCTTGTGGGCCATTTTAGGAATTTAAGAATTTTATTCTGGATGAGATGAGAACCTACTAGAATGTTCTGCTTCTTTTGGGGCTTCACGGAGCTTTACAGGGCTGACATGATGGCCCTTGACAAGGATCCCTCTGGCTGCTGAATATGGGAGAAATGCAGGGAGGAAAGATGCAGAGACCCATGAAGGGATGCACAAAGGCCCCAGCATCTTGGGTCTAGGTGAGGCACTAGAGGCAGCAATGGTGCTCGGGTTCTCGAGGTATGTTACAGTTTAAGCCTACAGGATTTCCTGAAAGATGCAACATGACGTGGGACAGAGAATGGGCAAGAATGACAGCAATATTGCAGCTTGTACAAGGGGAGGCCTTTGAGCAAGACGGGGAAGACGCAGGTGGGGGTAGAGCACGGAGAATGCAGATCGGGCTTGAAGAAGGAAGAGCTGGAGCTGCAAATCAGTCCCTATGAAATGGGGAAGTGAACAGCACTCTACTGTGGGGCCATGGGGCCAGAGATGATGGCTCAGTGAGTAAAGCTCTTGCCACACAAGCCGGACCACCTTAGTTTGATTCCCCGAACCTATGTATAAATGGAAATAACTGATTCCACAAATTCATCCTCTGATCTTAACACACGCACCTGTGATACATGTACAACCACAGACACACACACACACGTACATACACGTATACACACATACACACACAGACACGCCATATGCATAGAATAAAGTTTAAAAGATTTCTGCATTGTGGAAAGGTATCCATCTCATGATCACGTGAGAACTTAAGAGAAGGCTCAAGTTCAAGGTTCTAAAACTAGATTCCTGAGGTCACCCAAAACCAAATGGACGTGATAGGATCCAGAATGCTTAAGTTCTGAGCTCAGCTCTGCCACCTACTAGCCTGGTGACACTGGACCAGCTACTCCTCAGTCTCTGATTTCATCTACCTTGAAAATGAGGATGGTGGTGATGCTAATGCCTCCACTTACCTTGGGGCTTTCGATGAGGAAATCAGACAACCCAGTTAACAGCGAGCATTAGGGCTGGGCCTGTAATCCCACTCCTCAAGAGGCAGGGGCCAGAGGATTTCCAGTTGGAGCACTGACTGCTCTTGCAAAGGACCTGGGTTCAGTTCCCAGCACCCACAAGGCAGCTAACAACCGTCCTTAACTTCAGTTCCAGGGAATCTGACTCCCTCTTCTGGCCTCCTCGAGCATTGCACATACAGGTACCCTCTACATGCACACAAAATGCTGAGTGATCTCAGGGCGTTTGAGCAATTTTGTCTGGAACATAGGGCTTCTCAGTTAAAAGAAATATATGGGCCTCAGGAAATGACTCAGTAAGGAAAGTGCTTGCCACGAATGCATGAGGACCTAAGTTTGGATCACTAGCATTCACATAAAAAGCCAGGTACAGTGGCACACAGACAATCCCAGCCCTGGGGAGGAGGAGACAGGAGGATCCCCGGGACATGTTTGCCAGTTGGTATAGCCAAATCAGTAAGTTCTAGATTCGGTCTCAAACACTTAGGTGGAAAGTGATTAAGAAATCTACCTGACTTTGACCTCTGGCCTCCACACAAACACCTTCACGTGTACCTACATACACACACACACACATATGCACACACACACACACACACACACACACACACACACAGGAACATGAACACAGGCCACCTTCCTCACGATTCAAATGAGGACCACGAAACTGGATGGGGAAGTAGAGATTGGCTGAGGGTCAAGAGGTGCCATCCATGAGGGGAGGTCCCTGAGGATTTTCAGATATACAGGATATGCAGTGCTGTGGGTCTCTGGGTTCTGAGTTCCTTCTAAATCCAAGACTGAAGGATATCACAGCCAGTGATTCACAATGTGATGGCCTGCCTGGGCCCAGAACCTGCAGGGACAGACACGGAGGCTTCCCTGACTCACTAACCGCGGTGATTTTCCTCTCTTCAGATACCTTAACCTGTCACAAGGGGATCATGTTGAAATTTGACAACAACTTGGCTATAACACCAGTTGAATGGTTTTCACTTGGGACCCAGAAAACTGATTCCAGAGAGATATGTCAGGAGACACTGCTGCTCATAGATGTAGGTACGTGAGCTAAGCATAAGGACCAAACACCTGAACTGTGTCCAACCCATCCCTACCCTGGGTTGTGTCCCCTGAAATTCCTGCCCAGCTCCCTTCATGCCTGGAGATCTCTATCCAACCCTTTTCTCTGCACCTTGGCTTGCTGGGTCATAATACAGGCACATATGGTATTTCTGTGCAAATTAGGGGGAACATTTCTGCCACAGAGGCACCTCAGTGATCTCACTCATTGGAAAATTAGTACTGGACTGGAGATTTAACTCATTTGGTAAGAGTGCTTCCCTAGCATGCACAAAGCCATGGGTTTGATCCCCAGCACCACATAAACTGGGTATGGTTGTGTATGCCTGTAATCCCAGCACAGGGGAGGTAGAGGTAGGAGGATCAGAAGTTCAAGGTCATCCTCAGGAGTTCAAGACTGGCTTGGGCTACATAAGACTCAGAGAAAGAGAGAAGGGGCAGAGGGAGGGAAGGAGGGATGGAAGGAAGAAGGAAGGGAGGGAGAGAGAGAGGGAGGGAGGGAGGGAAAAAGGGAGGGAGGGATGGAGGGAGGGACATTGAGCATCTGTCTGGGGCTCTGCTAAGCAATTTCAATCTGCCTTTTGAACCTTTACCGGGAAGTGTGGAAAGGGAAAGAAAAGCAGGTAAAAGGAGCGAACTACGGGCGTGAAGAGCAGAGCTCTGGAGAGAAATCCAGCAGGGAAGAGGAGGTAGAGAAAGGGAGGTTTGGAACAAGATCTTTGAGGGGGCAGAACAGAAGGACCCAGGCTTGGGCTTTGGTCTCTGGCAGACAGTAAACCTAGCCTGTGCTGCTGTGATTGGGGATTGCATGCGCTCTGTTTCTGGGAGCATCAAGGAAATGAGAAATCTGATCTCGGCCCCCCTGCCATCCTCCTCTTCCCAGCCTGCCTTTCACTCTCTTACCCCTTCAGGAGAAAGATCAGTCCTAGTGGGGAGCAAAGGCTCCAGCAGTGCTGGGGCACAGGATTCCAGGGCTGTCACCATCCATTCCCAGGGCTCTGGAGTGGTGGCTGCCTCTTACGTGCAGTACTGCTCCTCTGACTTGTGCAACGAAGCCAACAGCAGCAGCGTGCTTCTGGAATCCCTCCCTCTTCCAGGTATGGGATCTGGGGACACAGAACTTTGGGCTGCAGTTAAGAGCGTTCTATGCACCCCCAACCTCCCCCCCATCTCTCCCTGTCTCTCTCCTCAGATTTCTCTCCCCCTGGAACCCTCCAGTGTCCTGTCTGCTTGCAGTTCTATGGAGCTTGCTCCAGGAACTCCAACTTTGTCTTCTGCCCTCAGAACACTCGGTGTTACACTGCTGACATTCACATTGATGGAGGTGAATGCTGAAGGGCAGATGCCAAGCATGAAGGGAGCAGGGGCCAGGACTCCAGGGGCTGAGGGAGGGGGAGGGGGACTGACTCCTGGGTCTGAGGGAGGAGTTCAGGACTTAAACCCATACCCTTGGGTCCACAGAAGGAGGGTTGGGATCTCATCTCCTAGGTATGAGATTTTTAGATCTCCTGAACTCTGCCTTCCTACCCTCTGCCCCCAACTTGATCTTCATCTTCTAGGTGGGCTCTCTACCAATTTTAGTGCTGATGGATGCTTGGCCTTATCTACCAAATCCTTATTTGGTAACTCTGATACTATCGGAATCTTCTCTATATTGGAAAAGCATTCTGATGTAATGGGCTCCTTTTCAAATATAGTTACTCCTAGTGCCTATTTGGCTTGGGTGTTAGGGCTGGGACTATCCTTAGCCATTTTCGTGGAAGGCTTTTCCCTCTCTCCTGACTCCATTTCCCTGTGATTCTTAACCCCTGTTGACCACCCAAACCCAACTCTCCTCTGACTTCATAACCCAAGAACCTTAGGCTTGAATCTGTTTGCCTATGGTCTTCATGTGTTATTACCCCCCCACACCCACACCTCTGTATCACCTAATATTTGTGTACTCAGGCAGTCTGGGAGCATCTGGACTTATCCTGTACAGAGTGAACATCCACATGTTGGCCACATGTATCAAATAATAATAAAGTTCATGTTGTTTCTCTAAATACTGGGATTTCTCTATGTAAGGAGAGAACCAGGCATGGGAGAAGAGGACTCTATTGGGAGAATCATCATCCCAGGCCTGGGCTCTATTGGTCTGCTTTGGACCTTCATTCCAACGTGTCACCACAGAGTCTCCAAGATGCTGCAGCCCGAAGCACTTGGGCATCACTGAGATTGATGACCATCCTCATCAGCCAGGGTCCCAGCACGAAGAACTTTCACCTCATCTGAGAAACTGAAAAAGAGGTTTAAAATGAAATAAAGTGAGAGGATCATTGACACGGGGGCTGGGATGAGTTAAGAAAGAGTTAACCCAGGCCCCTAGGCTGCTGCCGATAGGTGTTTGTTGCCATTGTAGACTCCAAAGCTGCAGGATCAGAAGCCATTGAGAGAAAGAAGACTTTACAGACATAGCACATGTGTAGAGGTCAGACGACAACCTGTAGGAGTCGGTTCTCTCTTTTCACCATGTGGCTTCTGGGAATCGAACTCAGGTCATCAGGCTTGGCTGCAAGCTCCTTTATCCTCCAAACTATCACTCTGGCCTGACTTCAGAGTTTTCATTTCAGACTGACACTTGCATCCTGCCCAGTGATGACTGTGAGGGAGGGGCTTCAGAGTTCACAGTCTAATCACACTGTCTTGGACTCCCCATTGGCTGAGCCCAGCTGGAAGCCCTAAGGCAGAAGACCCTCACTGAAGTTCCCATAGAGCTCAGAGAGATACAAAGCAAGGAAGAGTGAATCTGGAGGACTCAGAATGTGTGTCCCAGTCCACCCACTGCTCTCAGTGCATTAGTTAATTTTCTTATTACTGTGGCAAAATACCTGACAAAAGTGAACTTGAAAGGAAAATTGATTTGGGGATATAAATCCATCATGGCGGGGGATTGCGACTGCAAGTTTCTCCATGGTAAGAGGGGTACAACTGGGACCTTGACATCTCAAAGGATCAGAAAACAGAGTTGAATGATGGTCCCAGCCATTGGATGATTGCTGCCCACATTCAGAGAGGGTCTTCCCCATCTCAGTTAACCCTCTAGAAATACCTTCCCAGACATACCCCAAAGTGTGCGCCATTGATGTCTCAGGTGGTTCCAAGTCCAGTCAAGTTGCCAATCCACATTCACCATCACACTCAGCATTTGCCCACGTGGAAGCCAGAGTCCTCAATATAGAAGACATACCATCCCATGAGCCACTGCTCAATCATTTCAATATTATGTAATAATCACAGTATCCACCAGTAGTTCACCTGACGTCATGAAGATAGCATAAAACAGCAGCTGGGTCCTGGATGTTTCGCTGATGACAACCACAGCTTCTTTCTACTAGCCAACTCGTATTTTCTAACTACTTGCCTCAGTCCCCCACCCCTACTGAATGCTGGGCTTATGGGTGTATGCCACCACACCCAATTGAACAGAATTTCACTTTATTTTAATGTTGAAATTAGTTTTCTTTAATCTTCACACTTTTCCCCAAAATTTTTATTGAGTTTTTGTGCATTTCAAATAATACATCCTAATCAAATTTAGACCCCTCAACCTTTTCCACCCACCATACCCCCCACCACCAGGTTTCAGATATTCTGTCATATATGTTAAGTCCTATCCAGTCAAGCATTTCTTTCAGTGTCCCTCAGTGCAAATTCATCCACTAAGGTCTAGTCAGCCTATCTAGAGTCACTCCCTTAAAAGATCTAAGAATTTCTTAGATGTAATGTCAAGGTCCAAGGAAAACACCAAAGATAGTGCAAAACAAGGGGACAAACCCTGTATTTTAAACACACTGTTGGGGCTGGAGAGATGACGCATACTAGCCTTGCAGAGGACCCCAGTTCAGTCCCCAGCACCCATGCTGGGTGGCTCACAACCACCTATAACTCCAACTCTGTAGGATCTGATGCCCTCTTCTGGACTCTCTGGGCACTTCCAGTCACACATGCACATACCCACACACAGACACAAACACATGCACACACACACATAATTAAAAGTAAAATTTTTTAAAGAAATACATTGTTGTAACAGTATGTAAGATAGCATATTAGGGTTGATGCAAAGGGACTGAGAGTCTGAGGCCAGACTGGGCTACACAGTGAAGATCTGTGAAAAAAATGCCATGTTAAAGCTAATAAAGGATTCAGGACCACCAAAAGAGGAGGAAATTTTTTTAAAGGGTCTGGACATCATTTCACATTTAAAAGGCAGGGGCAGGATAAGCACAAGTTAAAGGCCAGCCTGGTCCACCTATCTAATTCCAAGTCAGCCAGAGCTATTGATATATAAAATAACAGGACCACTGAAAACCAGCTTAAGTAGCCCTGTGCAGAGGCCCTAAAGGGAGGTATGTACTTTATAGGTTTATTAACTTGTATGAAGGGGTTCAATATGAAATGGGAAGAGACTTCACTCTAAGTCCATCCCTGAACAGGGCTACTTACACTCTAGTGTGATGGAAAATTCTGAACTGATTTCCCAGGGAAGAAGACAACAAAAGTCTTTGTGATGTTTACCAATGTCCATGGTGTGATTACTCTCACCATGGCTGACTTCAAGCCACCACCATGATAAAACTGAACTGACGTGAAGAAACATTCAGCAGGACTTGGGAGGTACAGGAAGGAAGATCAGCACTTCAAGGTCATCCTTGGCTACTATACAATTTGAAGCCAATCTGAGCTCCATGAGACTGTCTCAAAATGAAAATAGAAAGTATGTTTTATCATCAGAACCATTTTTCTTTTGTTTCTTGCTGGCTGCCTGGAAATCACTATATAGACCAAGTTGACTTCGAACTCACAGAGGTTCACCTGCCTCTGCCTCCCAAGGCTGGGGTTAAAGGCATGTACCAACCATGTTAAGTGCACAGTTCAGTAGTGTCAAGCCTGTTCACATTGTTGCACAATAGATCTCCAGAACAAACTGTAACTCTAACCCATTTAAAAACAACTCCAAGGGCTGAGGATGTGACTCAGTTGAGAGAGTGCTTGTCTAGCATGCTTGAAGCCCTGGTTTTATCCCCAAACACCATATAAGCCAGGTATGATGCGTGCCACTAGGTCCCACACTTAGGAAGAGGAAGCAATAGGATCAGAAGTTAAAGGTCATGTCTCTAGATCTAGTGAGTTCAAGACTAGCCTGGGACACATGAAGCCCAGTCTCAAAAAAATATTAAAAAAGACCAACTCCAATCCAAATGTGGTACAAACCTGAAGTCTCAGCACTCCAGAGGCAGAGGCAGAAAGATCCCCGAAATTTTGAGGCCAGCCTATCTACATAGCAAGTTCCAGGCCTAGTTAGATAGTGAGACCCTGTCATTCATAAATAAATGATGATAGAGAGATAGACAGATACATAGATACATACGTACAAACATAGATACATACATAGATGATAGAAACATACATACATAGAGATAGATGATGATAGATAGATGATAAGAGAGATAGATGATAGATAGAAAAAATATAGATGGTATGCTCAGCAGCAATCATGTATTGAATCCTAGGATATCAAATCCTTAATACACAGTATTAAGACTACTCTATACAATAACTGGGATCCTTTATGTTATTTTATTATTTATAATAGTATATTATCTACCCAATGGGTAAAGTCATTACCTCACAAGCATGAGGACCTGAGTTTGGATCCCCAGAACCCACATAAAAGCTGGGTATGGCAGCAAATAACTAACCCCAGCAATGGAGATGAATTCAGGGACTCACTGGCCATCCAGTCTAGCCAAAACAGTGAGTTCAATGTACAGTTCAAGTTCAAGAAAACTTTCTCAAAAAATAAGGTAGCACATGAGAAAAAATTGCACTCAGTGTCAGCCTCTGGCCTCCACGTATGCCCTCATGGACCAGTGCATCCAAACACACACATGAATACACACATTTCAAACACATACAAAAGAAACATTTCTGAGGACTCTAAACTGCTCTAATATTCCTAAAATAATCTATCCGCGTTGCTATTTCTTTTTTTAACATTTTATTATTTTTATTTTATTTACTATTTTTATTTTATGTGCACTAGAGTTTTGCCTGCATGTATGTGAGTGCACCCATGTCATTCAATGCCCATGGAGGTCAGAAGAGGGCATCAGATCTCCCAGAACTGGAGTTACAGACGGTTGTTAGCTGCCATGTGGGTGCTGGGAATCATACCCAGGTCCTGTGCAAGAGCAGTTAGTGCTCTTAACCACTTAGCTATCTCTCTAGCCCCAAGTTGCAATTTCTTAATAGTTGCAGGATCTGTCTGTAGATTTATTTTAATAATGAAAAATTATACATATATTTTTATAAAATTAAGAGCATTAGAACCCCTTTTATTGTGACATTTTCTCTATTAAAAAATAAATATTCACAGGGGCTGGAGCGATGGCTCAGTGGTTAGGAGCACTGGCTGCTTTTGCAGAGGACCTGGGTTCGATTTTCAGCCAACTTTAACTCCAGTTCCAAGAGATCCGACCCCCTCTTCTGGCCTCTGTGGGCACTGCACAAAGTGGATGCACTTATATGCATGCAGGCATAACACTCATACACGTAAAATAAATTTTAAAAAGCATTCTCTCACACACAACCTTCACTTCAAAAGAACTCACAAGCCAGGCATGGTAGTCCATGCCTTTAGCCTCAGTACTTGGGAGGCAGAGGCAGGTGTATCTCTGTTTAAGGCCAGCCTGGTCTACATAGTGAGTTCCAGAGATCCAGACCAGCCAAGATTACATAATGAGACATTATATATAATTGTTTGCAGTTTTGAAACTATCACAGAGCAGTTTCTCTGAATATAATAAATACTTTTTTAAAAAAAAAATAGAAAACAATCAAGGGCCAGCGAGATGAGCCAACAGGTAAAGCCTGAGCATCCTAAATGACAGGGCAGAAGGCATTCTGGATAGGATTGGAGGATGACGTCTCGGGAAGAGGGGTGGGTGTTGATGCAGAAGACTGAGGACATCAAGGTGACAGGTGGTGGTTAGGGCCACAGGGTGAGTGCTGAGAGGCCTTTCTGGTAAATTCAGTTCCATGGGTGGAGACCAAGAGTTTAACTACCTAGTGTGGCTGGAGGAGCAGAGCCAATGGCCCTCAAAGAGGGAAACAGGAAGTAAGGTCTCTCGAAGCTGCCCTGCCCCGCCCCCCTTCCTCTTCCTGGGCAGCAACAGCCAGAGGGCATTCCGCTGGCAGGCACTCCAAACTCACGTTCTGCGCATGCGTGGGAGATAGCCAGTGATTGGCTTTCCCTGAGGCCAATGAGCTGCAGCGGTTCTCCAGGCTCATCCAATGAGCTCAGCTGACGTTTCCTCTTCAGCCAATGGGACGTCGAGAGTCCTGTCCACCAGCCTCCGCAGGGAGCAGGGAGCCTGTGGGAGCTTCCAGAGCAGAAGCCGTCAGTGCCGTCGAAGCCTCCAGACGCCAGTAAGGCCCCGCGCAACAGAAAGACCTTTGAGACCCTTAGAGAAAACAGGAGGGTGGGGGCCATTCCTGATCCCAAGTAAGGAGAAGCCGGAGGACAAGAGAACCAGGGGGAAGGGCCACGGGGACTCCTGAGTCTGAGGGAGAAAAACGGAACAAACCGGACCCTGGGTGTGAGGCAGGAGGGCTGGGTCAGGATCCCTCGGTCTGAGGGAGGAGGGTTGGGGTCGAGACCCTGGGTCTGAAGAAGGAGGGTTGGGGTCGAGACCCTGGGTCTGAGGGAGGAGGGCTGGAGTCTGGACCCTGGGTCTGAGGGAGGAGGGATGGGGTCTGGACCCTGGGTCTGAGGGAGGAGGGCTGGGGTCTGGACCCTGGGTCTGAGGGAGGAGGGCTCTGGTTTCAATTCCTGCATCTGAGGGAGAAGGGCTGAGTCGCCACCCTGGGTCTAAGGGAAGAGGGCTGGGTACGGATCCCTAGATCTGAGAGAGGAGGGCCCCCTGGGCCTGAGGAAAGAGGGCTAGGTTCTTCATCCCTGCATCTGAGGGAGGAGGCCTGGGTCTCCACTCTGAGTCTGAGGGAGGAGGGCTGGGTCTGGATCCCTGGATCTGAAGGAAGATGGTTGGGTCTGGATCCCTGGGTCTGAGGGAGGAGGACTGGGTCTGGATCCCTGAATCTGAGGGAGGAGGGCTGGGTCTAAGGGAGGAGGGTTGTATCAGGACCCCTGGGTCTGAGGGAAGAGGGCTGAGTTCTTGATCCCTGGGTCTGAGAGAGGAGGGCTGGGTCTGGACCCTGGGTCTGAGGGAGGAGGGCTGAGGTCTGGAGCCCTGAGTCCAAGGTGGGAGGTCTGGGGCCTGGACCCCTGGGTCCATGGGAGGAGGAGGGCAGAAGCCTGGACTCCTGGGTCTGAGAGAGGAGAGCTGGGACCTAGAATCCTGGGTCTGAGGGAGAACTAGGGTCTGATCCCTGGATCTGTTAGAGGAGAGCTAGGGTGTATAGGTCTGTCTCACTCAGTGGAGTTCTAGACTTGGGTTTGAGAGAATAGGCTGTCTTCCCTGAATCATGTTCCCTTTGGGATAAACAGCATGAGCCCAGATTCCTGGATCTTAGGCTCAAGAAGGCAGGGTTCTCAGAATTTGTATTCTGGCAGAGCTAGGTTCTGAGGACCTAGAGACTGGGGCCTTGAGAGAGTTCTGGGTTGAATCTGAGCTCCGAGTCTTAAAGCAAAAGGATGTCTTTTCCATTCTCTGTACACAGAAGTTGAAAGAACAGAGTTGCTGAGTTCTTGGAGTTACCAAATAGATGGCTGGGTCTTCAAATTATAACCATGGAAATGAGCATGATCCATCTGTGACCTTGCTCTAAGTGACAAACCGTTTAAGGACAAATGTCATAGTGTTCTATATCATAAATCTCCCCCAAAGTTGGCACTTACAGGAAACAGATTCCGTCGCTCAACTGGTTGAATGCTCCTGTCCTTTCGTTAGTTCCCAGATCCTGGTCAGCTCTTTCCAGCCTCTAGGAGAGCCATGGAGGCCTTCTGTATGCAGTATGTGCAGTTTTTCTTTGTGCTAGGCACCTCCTCCTGGACCTGTACGTATGTGGGACATAGGGAAGAGCAACTGGCTCACTGAGGGAGGATTGATGGTGAAAAGGGTCGCCCCACAGAGAAGGGCAAGTGCCTTTGTCCTGTCTTCCCAGTGGCCCAACCTCTGCACTGTGAGGTGGGCAGAACCTTGAGTTTGGAAGAGGACCCAGGCAAAACCTTTAACTGGACTTCAGATAAAGTGGAGAGTTGTGTCAGTGGAACATTTTGCCAGGAAACTTTGTTGTTGATTAAAGCAGGTAAAATGGGAACCGGACAGTGGGTCTTAATTACTGGTTCCTCGTTGCTGGGTGAGATGGGTCCGATTCTCCAGTCTGGCCTCAAGGCCTACAGTAGTTCAGCCCAGCCTCTCTTTTCAGCTTTATTTCCTGCTTATTATTAATTGTGTTGCAGCTAAGACTAATAATCCGACCCTTTTAACAACATAGATGGGGTTGGGGTTGGGGAGCTAGCTCCGTCAGTAGCGTTTGCCCCACAAGCATGAGGACCTGAGTTTGATCCCCAACACCCTCATAACAATGCCAAGCATAGTAGTATGTGCTCATAATCCCAGCACTGGGGACAGAAGTTCCCCTGGGCTTGGGAGAAAGGGTTATGCTGTTTACTCGACCCCAATCTCCCCTCCTCCTTCTGTCTCATAGCTAGAACCAAGACAGCTGTTTTGGCCACTAAGAGCTGCGTCCCTGAAGGACCCGAAGCAATGACCTTCGTCCAGTACACCTCACCCCCTGGCGTGATTGCCATCTCCTACAGCAACTACTGTAACAATATCCTTTGCAACAACAGAACAAGCATCTCTCAGTTCTGGAGGCCGCTAGAGACCCCAGGTACCCAGGAAATGGGGAAATGGGTACTCAGAGAAACTCTCTCAACCCTTCAAGAAAATTTTGCCTTTCCTTCTCCGTTTTCCTACTCAACATGGGCCAGATACAAGAGAAGCGCCCGGTCTGATTCGTTGTCTTCTGAGTTTTTAGCTTTAAAGTTCAAGAAGCCCTGCTTAGAGTAAATGGACATCCGTGATGGCTGGGGTGTAAACTGGGGTCGGGTTGATTAAGCAATAGGAGTCTTTAAACTTCTGAGCAGGATGGCGACATTCAGTATAGCAGATGCTAGTTCCTCGTTTCTGGATGACAGCAGTCCAGTTCCCCAGTTTGGCTTCAAGGCCTACAGTAATCTGGCCCTGTCTGTCTTTCCAGTTTAATTTCCGTTTTTCCCTGTTATTTGTTTTATCTTAGACTCCCATTCAGACTCTTTAATAGTATAGATGGGGGCTGAAGATATTGGTCAGTCAGTAAAGCATGAGGACCTGAGTTCAATTTCCAGCATCCACGTAAAAATGCCAGGCATGGTGGCACGTGCTCTTAGTCCCAGCACTGGGGAGGTGGAGACAGAAGGATCCCTGGGGCTCATTGGCCAGCTATTCTGGCCTAATTGGTGCGTTCCAGGCCAGTGAGAGACCCTGTCTCAAGGAGGTGGACAAAATTTCTGAGAGTGACACCTTAGCTTACCAGCTTGCCTCCACAGAAAAACGTGTGTACACACACACACACACACACACACACATATTTTTAAAATATTTTATTATTTTTTAACAGAGCATAGGGTAGGGGTTTATTTACAGAAGAGTGGGCACCCCCACATTTACAGCTGTGCCATAAAGTCCACACTCAAATACAGATCCTGTGACTTCCCGACAGCCCCACAAAAGGGTGAGAGAGGTGTCTCTTGGTGTTCTCTCTCTCTCTCTCTCTCTCTCTCTCTCTCTCTCTCTCTCTCTATATATATATCCCCTCCCCCCCCCCCCCTGTCTATCTGACGCACAGGGTGGGGGAGGGGAGTAACTCTCTCCCCCCCCCCCATCCTCCACCTTTGCCCCCCCCCACATGCCGCTATGGTCCACTGATTGGGTGGGAGGGGTAACTGACTCCCTCCCGAAACTCCTTGATGAGCCTGGGAAGGAGTTGTGACCATAGCTTGCTGGCACAGTGGTTGTAGGACATTTCCAGTTAACACTCCACTCCTTCCTCCAGCTCTTACATTCTTTCCACCAACCTCTTCCTCAAAAGTCTCTGAGCCTTGGAGGGGGTGGTAGGTACACACACACGCACACGCACACACACACATTTTTTAAATGTAGATGGTACAGGCCATAAAAAAATAAAACTCTGGAGCTGGAGAGATGGGTCAGTGGTTAAGATCACTGGATGCTCTTGCAGAGGACTCAGGTTCAAATCTCAGCCCCTACATGGTGGTTAATAACTGTCCATAACTCCAGTTCCAGGGAATCCAACGCCCTCCTCTGCCCTCTATGGGCATTGCGTGACACGGGTGCACTTAAATGTGCAGGTAATACACTCATACACATAAAATAATAAGTAAATAACAAAACCCTTCATCCTTCCCTGTGCCTGAGCACCTGAATATCAACTCTGCAACTTCTCACCGGTTCTTAAACCTCCCTGGCTGCCTGCTATCCTCTGACCTCCTTCCTAGCTGTTTCCCTCCCTGGACTTCGCCTCCACCTAATTTTCACACAGGTAACCTCCATTCATTCTCCTCGAACCAGATTCCAGCTCTTGGAAAGTGTTTCCTGAGTGGTTTTAGTTGGCTAGATATCCCTGCATTCTTTTGAACATCCCTTGAGCACAGTACATAAGTTGCATCTCAACATTCCAAGTTTTTCTCTTAGAACTGTGTTCTTTTCAACTCTGTTGTCATACCAAGGCAGAGTGTGGAAGTCACATGACAACTAAGCTTCTTGTTTCAAAGTTGTGTGTGTTTGTATACATGTGGAAGTCCGAAGACACTTATAGAGACGGTTCTCTCCTTCCACCTGTACGTGAGTTCTGGGGATCGAATTCAGGTCTCCAAGCTTGCACTACAAGTGCCTTACCTGTTATGCCATCTGGCCAGCACAATGGCTGAAGTTCTGACACAAAGAAAATCATCTGGGGAAGGTCGGACAGAAATGGGCTTGATTCAAGCGGTTTCTGCAGGACAGAATCAGGAAGGGAAGGCAGCCAGGACAGACTTTCGAGACAGGCTATATCCTAACTGTCCCTTTCTTTACCCCCATCCAGTTTCCAGTTTATCAGCAACTCTCCGTTGCCCAACCTGTGTGGCTCTAGGATCCTGTCCCAGTGCTCCCTCTCAGCCCTGTCCCAATGGTACAGTTCAGTGCTATCAAGGAAGAATTGAGCTCACTGGAGGTAAAGCATTTTGCTGATGGTGTGGGAAGCTGGGAAAAAGCGACATCTCTGTAGATTCCCAGAGGTTCTGACACTCCGAGTTCCAGAGGTAGGGGAAGCTCAAAGTTCCTAAACTTTGTGCTGCCTCTTGATCTCTTAGGAGGCATAGACTCATCCGTGGAGGTCAAAGGCTGTACCACTACAACTGGCTGCAGGCTGATGGCCAGAATCTCCACAATAGGACCCATGTCAGTAAAGGAATTCTGCACATATCAACCTTTCCTTCAGCCCCGAAAGGCAGAAAATAAGGCTCCCTGGCTGCTCGCCTCACTTTGGATGTTAGAGCTGCTGCCACTGTTGCTGCTGCCCCTCACCCACTTGCCCTGAGAAGGGGCTATGGGCCTAGGTCCCAAAACACCAGTTCTGAACTGGTCATCAGTTCAAGAACGGGGGTAGGGGGAGTCTGAAGAGCAGAGAAAGATACTGTATGTGTATTTGACACATCTAATAAAATTTGTGATTTATTATTGCATTGTGTGTGTGTGTGTGGATGTGGATGTCAGAGGAAATTTGAAGGTGTTAGCTCTCAACTTTCACTGCGTGGGTCCCAGAGATTGCACTCGGGTCATCAGGCTTATCTGCAAGCACCTTTATCAACTGAGCCATCTCACCTACCCAAATTTGTGATTTGTTTATGCTTCAAATAGAGCAGTGGGGTTTTCTGCTGAAGGGGACCCTTCACTTGCCATCTCTAGTCCACACATTTTCCAGACATTTTAAAATGAGTTCTGGGAAACTTGGATTTCTCACATTTACACAGCTGTAGGCAAAGCCAGGCAAAGTGGTGCTGTAATCCCAACATTTACTAAGCTGTGGCAGGAGGACCAGGAGTATCAGGTCAGCCTAGGCTATATATGAGACCCTGTCTCAAAAACCAACAAAAACAGACCTATGAGCAGAGCCAGCACATAAACAGGTATTTTGACTAAGAGTCAGATTTTCCTTTTATTCTAATGTTCATATCCTTAGGGTTCTCAGTCCAGTCCTGAGGCCAAAGTTAACTGCTTTGTGGTTCTGGTTTTGCTCACCTATGACGATGAGATGTGAGGAAAAAAATCAAAGCAGGCGTGGAGGTGCAAGTCTATGATTCCAACAGCCGAGAGAGAGAGAGAGTCTTCAGCTCTGATGGGCCTCTCTTCCAGTGCCTGCCTGTCCCTTGCCTGCCCGTCATCCCTCCCTCCTCCCTGGCTTACGGAGTATTTATTCTTCCATAGACAAAGAATTGATGAATGGGGTCCTGAGACTATTAGATGTTTGGATGGATATTTTGTTTCTCAAAAATATACAAAATCATATTGTAAAAGACTCAAATGACATAGGAGGCTATATAAAAGAAAGAAGGTGGGATAGTACAGACATCTTTTCATTAATTTAATTTTTAGAATGGTTCTGTTTTATATCCTTTTTTAGACTGAGGCTCATTATGCAGCCCTGGCTGGCTGGAACTTCCTATATAGACCAGGCTGACCTCAAAACTTACAGAGTTCCACCTGCCTCTGCTTCCTGAGTTATATTTATTGATACAATACTTTTATTGATTCTGTGAGAATTACATACACACATACAATGCATTTTGATCATACTCACCCTGCACTCCTCCCCACAACTTCTAGATCCACCCCCACCTCTCCATCCCTCCTGTAGGAAACCAGGATGCCAGGCCCTAGGGTGAGGTGAGCCTAAAACTTATAGGTCCAGGCTGCATTCTCTGCTAAAGGGAGGGGCACTGAAAACAGTGGCTCTGATAATCCCTGTCCTTCAGAACACTGCTAGACTGGCAGGAGGAAGTGGCCCGGTCAGAAGTGCAGGCTCCCTGCTCTGTGGGAAAGTGTCTTGGTCAACAACCCTTAGCTCGTCTCCTTGTCCTGAACAAATAACTCAGCTATCCCTGGCTAAGAGATTAGTCCAGGTTAAAGGTTTACTCCTGAGCTAAAAGCTAAAAATTCTCTATGCTTTTAGCCCTAAGAAAGAAAACGTTGTGGCCAATAAATTACCAGATGGGCATTGATAACCTTGAGTAAAGTTTAAGAATCCTTCTGGCACCAACTAATAGACTAAATGTCCTGTTTCTTTGTATCCTAAATCTTAGTATGTGACTGCCATATCCCACGTGACTGCTAGCTCCTTGGGATGTATAAAAACAATCTAAATTTTAAAATTAATTGGCTTGTTGGAAAGACACAAGTCCCAGGGTCTAAGACTCTGTTGCCAATCAAGTCCTCTGTCCCGAAGCCAGTAGGTCCCCCGCTAAGCAAAGCAAACCTAAGTCCCAACACCCTCCCAACTTCATGTCCTCTTTTTTTAATATATGCAACCCATCAAGTACAGTCCATGCTGCCGGTATATTCATGGGTGTGGGGCCATCCACTGGAGCAAGGTCCACCTATTAGGGGCCACACCCTTAAAGAAAACTCTCTTCCCTCCCCAAGAAGACACCAGCTGTCAATCATCAGCTGGAGGTAGGGTCTCCTGAGCCCCTCCCCGACTCCTTGCTGGGATGTTTACTGGCTTGATCCTGTACAGGTCTTGTGCAGGCAAACACAGCTGCTGTGAGATCAAGAGTACACTGTTTCACCTAATCCCCCAACCTCTGGTTCCTGCCGTCCCTCCCTTGGCCCCTTCTGCAGTGGCCCCTGAGCCTTACAGGGAGATGTGGGGTACAGATGTCCCATTTGTGACTGAGCACTCCACAGACATCCGATGCACTTTGATCAGTTGTGAGTTTCTGCATTAACCACCATCCAATTCACAAACCTCTCTGACAGGTCTGAGAGCTGCACTCTATGAGTATGGAGATACGAATTTAAAACACAGTTGGATTTTTAATTTTTATTAGGTTTATTTATTGTGTATGTGTGCACATGTGTGGCTGTGTGCCTGCCACAGGATGTGTGTGGAGGTCAGATGACAATTTGTGGGAGTTCTCTTCTACCATGTGGGACCCAGAGATTAAACAGTCCATCGGACTTGGTGGCCAGCACCTTTCTCCACTGAGCCATCTCACCAACTCCATTAGTTTTTGTCTTTAAATTTAATTGAATTTTGCAGTATAAGGAATTGCATGTTGAGCATCACACATGCCAGGCAACTACTCTACCACTGAGCTACATCTCTGGCTCCTTTTGGATTTTTTTATTTTTTGAGACAAAGTCAAGCATGCCTTGAACTCACTCTGTGACCTGAGCAGGCTTGAATTTTGGATCCTCCTACCTCAGCCTCCTGAGCCCAGTACGTGATGTGATGTAATTTTGTTCTACAATATGTATAGACTTCATCACCTCTTAAAGCTCCCACAACCTCCCCAAACAGCACCACCGACTAAGGACCGAATACTCAAATACCTGAGCCTGTGGGGGACACTTCATTCAGGCAATTTCAGGTATTTCTGCGTCTTTGAATGAATGTCTATGGTAATAGTCTACTGCCTGGATGTGTGAAAAGAGCCCTGAGTTCCAGAGGCCAGGTCTCACTATGTAACCCAAGATGGCCTTGAGCTCACCATCCTCCTGCCTCAGCCTTCCAAATGCTGGAACCACAGGTGTATGCATCTGCAACCAGCTTATGCTTCAAATTAAAAATGTTAAAGTTTGAATATTGGAAATATCAGAATATATGCCTGATGTACCCATATTCTTTTTTAATCCCTCCACCCCCGCTTTTTTTGTCATGGTGTCATGTGGCCCAGACTGACCTGAAACTCTATGTATCCAAGAATGACCTTGAACTCCTGATTCTGTCTCCCAAATGCTGGGATTACAGGCATGCACTGTAACAACCAATTAGTGGGGCTTTGATAATAGAACCCAGAATATCACACTTGGTGAACCAGTACTGTACCAACTGAGCTGTACCCCAAGGGGCCTCCTTCCAAGATACCCAGAACACCAGACTATGGGAACAGGCTTAATGGAACAGAGTCCAGGAAACTGAGCTGAGTCTTTGATATTCCATATCTCACCACAAGATGGTGCACTCTCCCCCCTTAGGTCTCCACAGCCAAGACCTGTGGGAAAACCAACTGTGTGTGGCAACATTGCCCATTAAGAAATCGGGAAGGGAGCTAGAGAGATGACTCGGTGGTAAGAACACTGACCTGGGTTCAGCAGAGGTCCTCAGCAGAAGACCTGGATTCAGTTCCCAGCACTCACATGGTGGCTAACAACTGTAGTGACTCTAGTTCCACGGGATCTGACACACTCTTCCGGCCTCCGTGGGCATTGCATGGCATGGGCACACTAACATACATGCAAGTAAAACACTCATACACATAAAATAAAAATAATTAAAATATAAATGAATAAATAAATAATAAATGATTTTAAAAAATAAATGGGGAATGATTGTGAGCTTGGGTGAAATGTAGCACAATGACGAGGCCTCCCTTCAGCACTGTATAGCTGGAATCTCAACTCTGCTGTTTCTCAGCCATGTGACCCTGGAAGTATACCTTAACCTCTGTCCCAGTTCCTTCATGCATAAGGCAGAAATAATAATGGCATACACCTTGTATGGTGGTGGTGGTTAATCCTAGTAAAGTTCTTAGACTATCACCTGTGTATTTGCTTTCTGTCACTATGATAAAATACCTGGGGGAATCAGCTTGTAAAGAAGAAAAGTCTGTCTTGACTCATGGTCTCATGGTTTCAGCTCATGGTTGCTTTGCCCTGTTGTCTGGGGCCTGGGGCAGCACAGTGCATCATGGAGGGAGCACATGAGGAGGTCCATTCACCTCACAGTAGCCAGAAAGCAAAACAGAGAAGAGTCCCAATAACCTCTTCAAAGGCCCACCTTCAATGACCCAACTTCCTTTCACTAGGACCCACTTCCTAAAGGTTCCATCACCTCCCAACAGCACCACAGCCTGGAGACCATGTCTTTAACACAGCAACCTTCAGAGGAGACTCCAGACCATAGCAACCAGGCACAGAGTCAAAGCTCAAAATCTTTTTTCTGAATTAAGAAAGGAAGTTCTTGCCAGGTGTGGTGATGCACACCTTTAATCTCAGCACTTGGAAGGCAGAGGCAGGCAGATCTCTGTGAGTTCAAGGCCAGTCTGGTCTACACAGTGAGTTCCAGGCCAGCTGGAACCAAAACAAGGAAGTTCTTATCTGGACCAGCTACTTAAGAAGCTGATTGAACAAGATCACAAGTTCAAGGTCAGCCTCGGAAGCTTAATGAGACCCTTTCTCAAACTAAAAACTCAACAAACAACCAAAAAACTGGGAATGTAGCTCAGAAGTTGGGCACCTGACGAGAATCCCCCAGTGAGGGGCTGGGGTGTGGCTCGGTGGTAGAGCTCTTATCCAGTATGTATGGGGTCCTGAGTT